GAAATGTTAGAACTTTTTAATTTGAGAAAAAATCCAAGCTGATTTTCTAGGTCAAGTTTTAATACTGCCAGAAAAGTTCTGTATTTTTGCTTTTCTAAGAGAGAAGGAGAGGAAAAAAAAAATCTACATGTAAATAACAAAAGGAATGAGAAATGTTTAATTTTACTATCTATACCTTCTGTCATATACTATTATATAAGGCATATGACCTTTAATGTCTTTTAAACTATAATTACATTTAGAAAACATACATCAAAAGGCGATTATGCAAGATTTCTAATCAGGCACTGAATAGATTACCTGCACCCTAACTGCCAAAAATTGCATCAAACCAGCATATTAGACCGTTCCCTGATGCTTTGCGAAGGCTCTTACCATTTTTGTGTGAAATATGCATCAGACGATCTGCGAACAGTCCGTAGGCGAGTCGTCTGAAGCTGAGACAGCCGCTTAGTCAGAGTCCATCGGTGTTAGCTTCATCACCCAGTAATTCCCACACAAATTTCGCTAGCCTCTCACAAACAACAAACAAACAAACCAAAGCACAAGACTTAACCAAAACTCTCTGATCTCAGCCTCATAGAAAACAACCCTCTTCTTTCCTTGAAGTGACGTTTTAATGAGTCCAATTTAAAGTTCAAGGAACCTGTTTGCGTTTTATCATTCTTTACAGCATGTGTAAGTAAAAGGCAATACAACTGTGTTATGTCTATATTATAGCTCCGCCATTGTGCTCTCGCTCATGTACATTATTAAAAGCGTGAGACTGCACTTCATACGCCGTAATTGAAAATGGAAATGAATTCTAAAGGAAATAAGCTACATGAGTTTGCATATTCATGTAATGGTGGGTGTGAGGTCGGGGAGGGCAAAGAACATCATGGCCTTTTTTGATTAACTTTGGTTCAAGGAATATCAAATATCTCACAACAACACAAGCACTTTACAAAGTGAGTCACATCCACAGGCAAAACGTTTAGCCTTGCGGGAAATTCTTCAACTGTAATGTTAATTAAAATCCTGATCTGCATTCATTCGGCCATAAAGAGGGATGGAAGATAAGCTAAATTAAATCTGCAGCTATCAGATGAAGCAGACAGAGAGAGATAGAGAAAGACTGCTGTTGAAGTCAAAAAGGCCATTCACACCAACAGCGATTACATCGTTCGAGGTCACTGTACTGTATCGCAATGTGAACTACATTGTCTGCACTCCCATTGGTAGGCGCTGCATTATGTCACTGCATGTTGGCATAAAGCTGAACTCCGCTCAACGTGTCGCATCGCTAACAGTCTCATTTCGACTCAAATCTCGGAATGAAAGGCTTCTGGTTGCTTCATCAATGTGAACGCCTGTGGGCCTGTCAAAACTGCCTCTAGCATAACACTGCATTAGAACAAAATGGGCTTCAAAGAGCCTTGACCTGACAATAGACATGCTGTTTGACTCTATGCATGCAAAATGTTGCCGCTGCCATTTTGGTGAAGTTCTGAACTAAAACAAAGTCAAATGCGACTCAAATCAAAAAGCATTTTGTAATTTACAGCACTCACCAGCAGAGCAAGAAACCAAGTTCATGAACAAAAAGCACTTTAATTACTGCAAAATGAATGAAATGGCACAAACAGTTTAGCAGCCAACTGCTTGTTATTTATGATGGTTGGCTGCATGGTGAGAACGCTTGCAGCAACATGCGATGCGATTTAAACTGTAGCCTGTCTACAATCTTGTATTCATCTCTCATGTGACAATGGGTGGATACTGAAATCCTGCTTTCTTACTGTTATCAAAGATATATGACAACCAATAGAAAAACCCATTAACTTGGTGAAAGCTTAATGTTTGTTAGTTTTTATAGCACCATTAATGCAACCACTGTTGCCCAAAGTGCTTCACAATCACTAATACAAACGCATAAAAAAACATAAAACCACAAAATATAAAAGACATGCAGAGAGCGACACACAAAGTCATAGCCAAAGTAACCAATCAAAACACCTCATCATGTAGATGCCCAAAAAGTCTCTAAAGGATGTGCTTTTAACAAAGCCTTACATTTAGTGACTTACTGACCTTACAGAAAGAGAGAGATTATTCCAATGTTTGGGTCCAACACAAGAAAAAGCTCTGTCACCCTTTTGTTTGTATTTAGTTCTTACAACACAAAGAAGATTTAGATTTTCCGATCTCAAAGATCTGGAAGGATTGTAAAATGCCAACAAACTCGAAAGATAAAAAGGGACAAAATCATGTAGCCCCTTAAAAACAAGTAATATGATCTTATAGCTAATTCTGTACAGAACCGGCAATCATTTCAGTGATTTTAAAAGCGGTGTAACTGACTCAAATTTCTTGGCTGACTTGAGCATTCTGGCAGCAGCATTCTGTACTTTTTGAAGATGTGCCTATGCTCTGTTATCAATTCCAAAATAAAGAGAGTTACAATAATCCATTTGTGAGAAAACAACCACCATGATCACTTTCTCAAAATTAGCAGTCGATAAAAAAAAAGTTTAGTTTTAGCTAAAAGACGAAGATAAAAAAACTTGACCTGATGACATTTATTTGTTTGTCCATTTTTAGGTCTGAATCCAGAACAAAACCCTACATTTTTTACACTAGTTGAGATTGAACCAGACAGAGGGGTAGATTTTAAGCATTGGGCCACTTCCTGATTTCTAGGGCCAAGCACAATCTCCTCTTTTTTTTTGATCATTTAGTTTAAAAAAAAAATTGCTGCCATCCAGGCTTTGATGTCCTATAAACAGGCCAATAAATGATCAATAATAAGATAGATCTGAGTGTCGTCCGCATAACTGTGGAAGGATACATTATATTTACCTTTAGGATGTTACCTTTAGGATCCATATGAAAACATGGATCCTAAAGGTAACATATAAAGGGAAATAATATTGGTGCAAGAATCGAACCCTGAGGTACCTCCCAAGGAAGCAAACTGGATGCATTTTCTTTCCCAGTGCAAACAGAGAAGGATCTACCAGTGAGATATGATTTAAACCACTTAATTTCCCTTAAGAACAGCCCAGTGTTCCAGGCGGTCAATCAGTATATCATGATCCACCATATCGAACGCCACTCTGAGGTCGAGTAGAATCAGAATGGTATTTCCACCATTGTCCAGTGCCAAAAAGATGTCATTCAATACTTTCACCAACACTGTCTCAGTGCTATGATATATATATATATATATATATATATATATATACACAGACACATACATCAAACCATATTTTGTTAAATTTGTTGGTTAAAATGTTTATTTGCACTGTCTTGGATTGATTTTTTACAATATAATTCAATTAGATTAATATATTTTATGTGCGGCTTCAACATCCAAATTGTTTTGGGAGCCATTCTTTTCATACTGCTAACACTCCAGTGGAATAACACTGAAATCGTTTTTATTTATTTATTTATTTTCATCCTTGCAACTATACGGAAAGTTTATTGTGAACTGAATTGTGCCATTCTGTGTTCTTTTATTGAAAAATGCTTAAAAAACAGCAGAAAATGTGTTTTTGAGTGCCTCTTATGTAAGTTGATCCTTGAATACAATGTTTATTTTTTCCACTCTCTTCCATGGATCTTCCTTTTATCTATTCACAAGCCTTTCAGCAACATGGTTGTGTTTTATGAGATTTAACAGTAATCAAAAATGGAGAAGAGGTGTGGTATCTATCCAATATGAGAGCGGAAGAACACACCGCTGAACTGGTACAGGTGTATGTCCATCTGACAGGTTCAGACAGGTTAGCCTACATCGCAATAAACATCATTTAAAAATATCTTACCTGTATGTCTTTTTGCGCGGGGGTCTGTCTTGCCTTTAGAGAGAGAGAGAGAGATTGATTTGAGTGCACACTGATATACTTGTAGTGTTTCGCACACTAGAGGTAAGTGTACTCAGTGTCCCTCTACTTTGTGGAATCGTTAATGAAGGCGACTGAAGTCATACGGCAGCGAGTCTCCGCCTCCTCCTGCGCTTCAGAGAAATACCTTTCATTCCCATAATGTCAACGCGCTTTCTTTGATGCCACCTAGTGGTTTGAGGTGGTATCTATCTATCTATCTATCTATCTATCTATCTATCTATCTATCTATAAATCCATCCATCCATCATTCTATGGCTATCTGTCTATCCATCCATATATCCATGAAATGTGCGTGTGATTGTGTTTGTGTGTTTCTGACTCACTCTCATTACCTCAGTCTGTTGCTCATGAGAGACAGAGCCTGTCATCATACGCACACAGGTCAAAGGTCATGGTGGTGACAGTGCCCTTTAAGAGACCACTAATCTGTGTCAATTTTCCACACAACAGCGTCAATGTGTGTGTGTGTGTGTGTGTGTGAGAGAGAGAGATGCCTTAGAGTGCATTTTTGCTCATCTTTGTGAAAAAATGCAAGCTAGCATGTGTGTGTGTGTGTGTGTGTGTGTGTGTGACCACTCTTGTGTATTTTCCTCCTTATCACACTGTGACAGTGATATATGGAGCTGACCAGACCAAACTGAGTTTCATCATCACAGGCAGAGAGAATGGATTACTGCGAGTGTGCATGATCAGATGTGAGGAGCCGTCATTACCTCTGCCTGACTTAAAATCCTTTTTCTCAGAATCTCCACTCAGCCCAGAGCCGTCATCGCCGCGCAAATGCATGTAATTTAATGTACTTCATTTGTTTCCAAACATGCCCTGATGAAAACACGCAAACCACAATCTCAAAGTCTAACTCATCCATTTAATCTGTCAGAGAGTAAAAGCATTAGGTTGTAGCGTGCTTTATATGAATTGACAAGAGCAAACAAGTGGACATCCATTCCATAAAAACCACACACACTCAAGCAAATATCTTGTTTTGCTACAAACGACATGTACAATTATATCTGTAAAAGTAAGCAGTTTTTCTCTGAATTTCCATCTGGTTTTCCACTAAGATATTTGAGCATCCTTAAAAACAGTTTTCAGAGAAAATATCTAGAATTATGTTCCTGATGTAAACTAATATTATTTAGTTCTTAGTCTAAGCATAACTAGGAAAAAAGGCAATGGAGTAATAAAAATAAGTGCACCATCACTAGTGATAAAATTAATGTAACTTATTAAGTAAACATTTTTTTAATGACAAAAAAATGGTTTCACATATTTGGAAATTAATAAAAATAGAAAATAATAAAACAAAAATTAAAAACAAAAAAAAACATACACACACTTCTTCATACTATAAATTACTAAACAAACAACTTACTGTCACTATAGTAAAACCATGGTAAATTATCCATAAAGGAGGAAAGTAGAGCCTCACAAAAATAAATGGCAGGATACTGACATTTGTATCTCAGAGTGTGAAGTGTGTATCTGTGCACATTCATGTTTGTACCGTATGTGTTGTGACTCACAGGACCTGACAGAAACCTGACAGCCCTCAGCAGGCTGTTGCCACGACAACGCCACAGCTCTCACAACTCACTGGCCTCTCCCAGCATCTCCTAACTAACAGTAAGCACTAACAGCTTCACACTTGAAAAAGTCTTCTTGATGACTGAATCCTCGGACACGATCACCAAAATGCCTCTATTCTGTCATTTCCATTGCTTTTTGAGATTGTGATGGACAGAGAGAGAGAGATATTAGTATTCTAAAGGCCTCCACTGGCAGAGTTTAGAGTTGGTGCGACACAGTGCCTGGCAGCATGTCTCTTCATAGAGAGCTCTGACATGAACTCTCTCCCTCCAAATCACTCCTCCTCTTTCGGTTTCTCTCAGCTGATCTCAGTCGAAAGCTATACACATCTATCTATCTATCTGAGCTGTAATTTAGTTTATTATTATTATTAGGGCTGAAATGATTCCTCGAATACCTCGAGTAACTCGAATACAATCAATATGGTGGCTAGTTATAATGTCCCTACGTTAGCTATGTTTTGAGAAAGACTAAACGCCATTGTGCATAAAAATACCACAGAAAGAACGTTAGTCAATATCACATGAAGAGTGCCAGATTTCACCTCTAAAATCGGCATGATTACAAATGTGATTTTATTCAACAGTTCAATAAACAAGAAGGTAATATTATGAGACTTACGTTTTAGACACTATATTGCCTGTTTTTGCTTTATTTTGCCAACAAAAAATTCCAAACACAGCCACAGCGCTGTTTTGCGTCTGTGCAATATGACGGTGTTTCGTTCCTGAATGAATCAACTGTTTAAATGATTCGGTTCATTCGCAATGACTCACTTCTTAACAGTGACTTGCTGCCACCTGCTGGCAGTTTTAATCTCACATTTAAGTATATTTTCGTTTTTAAAATAATTTTAACTATCAGTATTCAATGTTTTATGTTTAAAATAACAAAATATTATTTATGAATTTGTAACTGCAGGTTAAATGCATTCATGTCCCTCTGTGTGGGAAATCCATCCCATGCAGCTTCTGTGTTTCCTCTGCATTGCACAGATGAATTTTGATACTGATATAATTTGTTTGGTAACAGCCCAAATGTCTTTTATTCTAATTGACTGATTAAATGTAA